TCTATTTCATGAGACACTGCGAGGTGTGGATGAACTAAGTTAAACAGTTGTAGAAATGTTTTGAAATGTTCATTATCTGTAAGAATGAAAATATCGTCCACATAACGTTTGTACAGAATGGACTTCAAGATATTATGAATTAGGCTTTTCGCAATTAATCCTGGAAACACATCTGGCAATGGACTACCAATTGCTACGCCATCAAACCGTTCGAACGTGGTCTCTCTCAAACTGAAAACAAATGTTTTCTGTATATGCAAGAATAAGTTCTATCAAGTATCGAAGAGGGGAGAATTGTTTGAAGAAATATAATCACACAAAAAATCAATTGTTTCATAAAGTGTTGCATTAGTAAAACGCGAATCCATATCTATCGCATACACACTCTGTGGGGATACGTTTTATTTTCCAAAATATCAGAGAATTCCGAAGAATCTACCACACCATGAAGCCCAAGAGACTCACGATTGGGATCCAGAATCAGCCATCGGACGAGTTTGTGATAAAGAGAGTTTTTCATGCACATAATTGGTCTGAATGGAGATCGAATTTTATGAACTATGATCGAACCCCTCGTTTTTGATGTTGCCATACCTATTGGCTTCAGTTGTTTGTAATAGGCTCCGGAAATGTAACCATGAATTAACAAACTCTGCAGCTTTATTCAACAAGGCCTTTGGTGAGATGATTGCTGTCCAGCGTTTTGTCGATTTGGAATTTTCCAGCATCTGAAAGAATTTCGTTCATTTTGTGACTGTCTTTTGTCATAATTACCGTTTCGAATCCTTTTTCGGGTTTCAGAAATGTTAGGTTTGTCATATTTTTAAGCTTTTCCATTGTCTTGTGGTGTTCTGGAGTGAGGCAGCAGTGTTGTCGAATCGGTGCAATAAGGTAGGAATGACAAACATCCGCCTGTTTCGCTCGGATCCACCCGGTGTTTTCGTCAGATGTGGATGAAAGTTCTTTTAACCGTGCTTTAAAGTTTTCAAACGGAGCACATTTTGCAGATAGTTGATGTTGCTTGATGGAGTCTGGAACTTCATATATATTTCGCAATCCTTTTACGCTTGTACACGATTGTTCACCATTATTGAACAACCCTATGTATTATATATGTGCTTGTTCTTTTTAAGTCAGTAATTACGAAGAATAAACGAAATGGTAGCATCTCGCGACATTTGTCTTCTTTCTGTGATGATGAAAATTAAACAGTTGGAAAAGATTGTTCGCATTAGCAAACTCCTCAGTTTCATTGCTGATCAGTTCTGGTAAGGCGAGAAAAAAGAGCCGTTGAAGTCCATAGGGATAGTCATTTGGCGTTCGGCGTCTGATTTTATGTTTTTTCAATTTCGGTCCATAGGGTATTAGCATTGAAAGAATGGAAGCTATCTATTGAATGAGAGTGATTGAACTACAGAAAGTGAGATATGATGTCATACATTTTGCAAATCACGATTGATTGAAGCTGGATGAGGAGCACGAGAGGTGGCTAAACATTTCTATGCTAAGAGAGAACGCTTCTGCTTGGAAAATTTGCGGAATTAGAAGTGAAATGTACATTTGTTTCGGTCAGAACCAGCGCACGATATCGGATAGATTGTGGTTGCATAACCGTTCACCCCAGTGAAGTTAAGTCGCCCACCCAAACAATAGGAATACTGATTGACACATATTTCGGGGTTGACAATATCACACATTGCGTATAAACCTGTAGATGTTTTTCTGATTTTCAAGAACCATTCCACCAACGTGATTTCTAAGCGTTTTCGACTCAATTGAATGATGACTTCCGGGCTCAGGCTGACGGAATAAGCTATACTTGGCGACTTTAATCGAAATTCTCTGCGATTCACATGCAAACCAAACCAATATACCCAGAATGCCTCCACGTGATTAATCAAATTTTAGAAAAATATGTGAGATGCGCTCCTTGTTTATCTCGTCTACTACCCTACCTTTGAATTTGAAGTCTGATCTAAAATATCAAGGTTGGGATGCTTCCATTCTTGCTCTATTCACCTTCATTGGCTAAAAGCCTATTTTTCCAACAGAGCTCAAGGTATCAAAGCTCTGAATACGCCGTGTGAACAACTCTTGTGTTCTTAATGGCACAGGCTTCCGTCCGAATCTGCTCACCATACACCAAGTTGTGATTGACCAGTCGGAGCTCACAGAACCCATCCAGCCGCGCAGGGAGCCGCGTCACACCACAAGCAAGCTCGCGAGTCCGGATTGGATGACTGCAGAACGAATCAGACAACTGTAGTCCGATAAACCAATCGGTGTCACGGACGCAATTAGATTGGTGCGTCACCACGCCGTTCTCGTTGGCCCAATTTACCCCTTTTATTTGCGAATGGCATGATGACGACAGAATATACTCGGACTGTTACTCTACAGTCATGTTGTCTCCTTCTGTCTCGTATTATTATTGGAAGCCAAAAAATGAGGCGCTCGTGACAGTTGTAAGTCTAGGCAGAACATTGCAACCGGTTAATGTTCTGGACCATCTGCCTCAGTATGCATATGACTTGGTGCGCTGTCAGACAAACCTCCATTGACACGATATAGCACAATTCATCTTTGCGAGCTTTTTGCGGGCCACAGATCCTGCTCATCTCAGCACTTCTGATGAGACCTAACCAGGTCAAAACAGCTGTCCAGTGCTTCCTAGCTTTTCAGTTCACGTTTCGTTTGGTATATACACGACGAATTCACCTTTGAAACTGAATCAAATCCTCCATTACTCATTCGAAGATTCAATTAACAGGACTTCGTTTCCCTCTCTCGGAATGCATATAATATTCACAAGTAATCGTTTTATTTTAGTGTCTGGTGTCATTGTTAAAAATGTATCTAAACTTACCCAGATCCCAGATCCTGACAACGCTTAACAATTAAAATTTAATTACACCTCAATAGTGTCATCGTTTAAGTATTTGGATGTTGCAATAACTATCGAGTTCGATTGCTCCTCCCACACTGAGAACCTTCAGTGGACGGGTTTGCCGAACCAGCAGCCATTTCCTTGAGTGACCAACCAAAAGTGAGCCACACTAGGAAATGTATGGCAGTTTAAAGGATGACATTAAAGCTATTCAACAGCCAAAACGTTGCTTTCTGATCACCAGCCTGTGCACAAGTCAACCTTCTTGGAGGTGAGGATGAGTGGGCAAAGTTTTACTGTTAAAGTGAACCTATGTTAAAATTTTGAAAATTTCTTCCCAATGCCGTTGGACAAGTTTAGAGAGTACCATGAAGACGCAGTACTCGGGATAATAATTACAAGCGGATAGTGCGAACTTTCGAATGAAAACCCACCGAATAGTGCAAAGTCAGGTAGAACCAAGATGGGCTTTGTATGGAGTTAGTTCGTTCCGGAAAGCATACGAACAGATGTCAAACAGTTGTCGGCCGGTTATTCGTTGTCCAGCCGGTATCAACATAGTCCGTTTGGTCGGTTTCCGGTATTTACCTAATCTGATTGCGTGCTCTCGGACCACGTGATTGGTCAGAATCTCCGTCTCCTAATTGGCTCTCTGAAAGCTGTATCGTGTATTGCTGTGAGATCTCATTGCATAATGAAAGAGATATCTATGAAGGAGAACCTACGACTGCTGAAAACGAACTCAAACCAAATAACGACTACAAAAAATCTGAACCTAATTCTGAGTTTAAATATGGGTTTCAGAAAGGTGGAACAACATCAAGTTCAAAGTCACAACAATTTCTGTTGAGATTGTGAAACGTTCAGTAGCCGCGGGGGGATTCGGACCCATTCATGGGAGCCGGCTACGCTTTTGTACAGCGCACGCTCTACCAACTGAGCTACGAGGCCAAACCCATAGTACGGATCTTTTCATATTCAAATCATCCATCCAACTTATAGAGACATATGGCATCCACAATTTTTTGGACTGTGGCTAGCTATGGTTCATTTTCGTGACCCCTGGACACATGTGTTGAACTAGCAGGAACGTAAACTGTTGGACAGATTTGACAAGTATGACTGCGGTGAAATTTCTTTCAATCCTGTGGTATCAAGAAAAAGGCAAATATGTATCTGAACGAGTAAAGAAGTGTCGTCGAAGTTTACTCACTAAGAAAATATATTTCAAGTTATTGGAGGACTGTGTTTAGATGGATTGGTTGCGTTGAATAAATTATTACAAACTGAATAGTTAATCCAGGATCGCGGCGAAGACATCTAATTTCTGACGAATAGCAATTGCGATGTTTGAAAGTGCTTGTTATTTCTCTAAAGTCGAGCAGGATGGTTAAACGTTTTATGCAGTGTGCCGTATAACTAAAAAAATAACTACAGGTGATTTTTGAGGTGATAATGATCTCAATGGAATTGTACTCACCGGATCACTGGGAGTCTAGTCTGAAGCTAACCCGTTTAACGTTTATTGTTTACATTCAAGTGTAACGCCTCTCATGCGAACACATGGCCTCGAATTCTCTCACCGTGCAAGTTCTTTGGGCATAAAGAAACTAAACCATCACCTAGTCAGCTATATTCCTAGTAATGTAAAGTGAACGCGATCTGACCCTGGTGTAGAAGCCAAACCGGTGAGCCTCACACGTCTCTGGCACCAAACGACATCATCCAGGTTACTTCGTGGGACGCTGGCCAGTGAAAAAGACGTTGAAAATGTTCTTCTTTCTAGTTTTCTCATTGCAGATGGGTCCAGCAATACCATTCTTTTACCGGACAGACCTTGGACTGAGTGTGTACACCGGCGGAACAATCTTAACAGTGCACGCGATGCAGACAACTTGCGGGCGATTCTTATACACGGAGTGCCACAGTTCCCCGAAGCCGATGGATCCAACTGTCGAAAAAAGGTTTTTTCAGTAAGCTTCCAGAAGTGGAGGTACGTTGTCGGACCGGTCGATGAGATCTCATTGCCATAACCGAAACCTGGTTGACGACTGACGTTTTGGACTCCAAGCTGCGATTACCTGGCATGGAGCTATTGAGGCGTGATCGTCCAATGCGAGGGAGCGTGTTGCTCTACTATCGTAACAGCTTGCAATGCAAGCAAATTGAGTACCCGTTTGCTGCTTTAGATAAATTGGAGCTAACGCAACAAGATATCGATTATATCGGCGTAGTTTGTCGCCCTCCTTCGTCAGAAGATTCATCAAATGAGAATTTGTTGCAAACAATGTCTTACTTCTTGTCATTGAATTTCACCCACGTTCTTGTTATGGGCGTCTTCAACTGTCCAAAGCTGAGCAAAGTGACTACATCGAGTACGCCATTTGAACGACAGTTGAAGCAGTTTCTCCAGTCACATTCGTTGTACAATCATGTGAAGGAACTCATCACGTTAGGAATCAACCAAATTTCGTCAACTTTGGATCAAGTACTGACAAATGGAGAATTGATGGTCGAATCAATTGCAATCGCAACTCCGTTGGGAGCAGTGATCACGCTATATTTTTGTTCGATTACGTTTGCTATGCATCTCTAATAACAGATTCTTCAAATCGCTTTTGCAGCACAACTGACTATGAAGGACTAAACAATCTGGCACATGGAATCCAGTGGATCTCCCCTGATATTGGCTGCAATACCCTGGAATCCTGGAGGAAATTTACTAACAGCATCACGACAATGCTGGCTGCTGTTACAACTGTCAAGCGTCTCTGCCAACCGACTGTCCGAAAATCAGCAACTCGCAGTCGAACTAGGAAATGGATAATGCAAAGAGACTTTCACTGGAGGGATTTCAAACGCTATCCATGCTCTAGCACTTGGGAGCCTTACAGGCTCCTTCGAAATCACTGTACAAATTTGGTGCGGGAAGGCAAGCACAGTTATCGTGATATGCCGGCGACGAAGTTTATCACAAACCCTAAGGTACTATATAAGCATGTAAACGCTTTCCGAAACCAAAGTGAAAATTCAAATTCAAATATTTATTGTGGGAAAAAACTTACAAAGACTTCGCCTATCAAATCCCATAGGGTGTTTACATTTTGGTTCGGAACACGATTCACAAGATCACAGTTAGTCCATAAAAGTAAAATAGTGATGTTTTTGACGAGCACAGGAGAGCATATTATGTAGTTCGGTGTTGAAACAATGTTTGCCAGAGTATCATCAAGCTGCCGCTTGAACGATACTAATGTTGGCGCACAGACCACGTGAGGTGGTAGGGAGTTCCATTTGCTACACACTTTGACTGCAAATGAATGGCACCTGCAGTCGAGACGGCTCTTTTGGAGTACCAACTTCAGTGGATGCCCTCTGAGATGAACATTGGTTGATAGAACCAAAACAGATCTACATGAATGGTTGGGCTGTTGGAAAATACGATACAGTGAGATCATATCGCCTCTGATTCGACAACATTGAGACGAGTATAGCCCCAATAGCTGTAATCTTTCGCCATAGGTCTTGAAATGTAGACCTTTGACCATCTTGGTAGCCATTCTCTGTGGGTGTTCAAGTGCCTTCCGATCTCGCTGCAGCCATGGGTTCCAGGTCTGAATTGAGTACTCGGTGGATGGACGGATATGTGTGGCTAACAGACGTGGAAACAAAGCCGGCTCAAACGATCCAAAAACACGTTTGAGCAGTCCAACCTGTTTTACCACCATGGATGATGCCGTGGAGCAACTCAAGTCTGCGCGAATGACTACTCCCAGATCCTTCTCGGATGGAGCATGAGGGAGAGTTTCGTGTAGGAGAGTGTAGGAATAACGACCATGGTGACGTAGTGATAAAACTTTACATTTGGTAACGTTGAATTCCATATCATTGGAAACAGACCATCTGGGGGTTTCGTCAAGGGCGTTCTGAAGATCAACTGAATCTTCTGGTTTTGTTATTGTCCTCCATATTTTGGCATCGTCCGCAAATTGCAGTGTTTGTGGTCCGAGGACGTCTGGAAAATCATTTATAAAGGCAGAGAAAAGACGCGAGCCTAGTACAGATCGCTGTGGAACCCCTCGGTTGACATCTATTGGACCAGAAAGTGAATCGGAAACGCGAACTGACATGGTACGTTGGCGAAGAAACTCCTCGATCCAGCCAAGTACGAGTCCACGGATTCCATAATTATACAGCTTCCGTATCAGTATTCGATGATTTACTCTATCAAATACTTTAGAGAAGTCCAGGTAAATAACATCTACCCCTTTGCCTTGGTCTATAACATGAGTCCAATCGTCCCGAGCCAAAATCAACTTAGTTGCACATGAACGACTTTTTCGAAACCCGTGCTGGGCTGGGGATAGTAAGTCATTTTTCTCCAGATGGTCCATTACCAAACCTGCAACAATAGATTCCATGACTTTGGACAACACTGGAAGGAAAATGACGGGTCGGTAGTTGGCTCAGTCACTACTGCATCCACCTTTGTAAATTTGTGAAATGACACCGTTTTTCCGCACCTGAGGAAACATGGTATCTTCAAACAGTTTTTGCTATAGTTCACTTAAAGGATCGGCTGTGACTTGCCAAGCTGATAAGAGCTCGTGGATGAATGTTATCTAAACCCGGTGATGAGTTCTTCTTCAAAGCCAGGAGCTTTGCCTTTATCCTTTCGGGAGAAAAGTTGATGTCTGTCAGTAATGGGTAATGAATATGTTCCAGCAGACGGGGAAGTACAAACCCAGCGTTACTAGGCGCATTGACCACTTGAGAGTACTGTAACCCAAGCATTTCTGCAGCCTCCTCGGTTGTCACTGAAACACGTCCTGCTGAGTTTAGTATTGGAACGCCGTGTCTGACTTTCCGGGAAGCGCTTACATGCTTATATAGTAGCTTAGAGTTTGCAATAAACTTCCCAATTGTTCAAGACAAGTGCTAATCAGTACTCTTCCAGTCTATTTATCCGTGAGCTATCTTGGTATAGTGTTATCGATCAATGTATTCTCATATAACATGAAGAAAATCGTTAACTCAGTTCCCCTCAGCACGCTGTCTCTTGTGTTGTGTCTTAATGTATAGGGTTGAGAGTCCGTGGTATACACATCACGATCCAAATTAGGTCTTACCACACATCATAAGAAGTTTTATTTCAACATGCTTTTTCCTCGTGGGTTTTATGGTTTTCCTTCAATTTTCCCCGTCCACACGAGTATACTTGGTCACTCTGGTGTCTATACGAACCTAACAGCTAATAGATTTTGCAATCGACCAGCTTTTGGTATATTTCCTCTCGCCATGATAGTGGGGATAACATAGACAACGCGTCAACATCGAGCACCAGAAGCAGGAATGGATTTTTAGTTTCCGAATAACAAATTAAGACGGATTGGCCGAATTTGATCACACGATGACTAGGACGATTGGATGTGTGCTTGGATGAGTAGAATCAAATAAAGAAGACGGTTCTAATCCGAGATGAAATCTTCGGTTCAGTATATTGGAGGAAGTGACAATGTGAACACCGGTCACCTGTAAACAAGAAGCGAACGTATCAATGGCAATAATATCGTGGAGATCGGGGTTCTGTTCGACCACCGGTCGAGACAGTGAAGACGCAGAAGAATGAGCTGGGGATTAGGAAAAGTAGCTCTCGATCACCCAGTGGCTCATCCTCTTTTCAGTCTAGTGGCTTTCAGCATGGTCGGCATATTTGTCTTATTTCCTTCCCACCGGTCAACCAATCAGATCGCTCGTAACCGAACTCGCCAGATCCGTTGGAGTCCCCGTGTCCTCCGTGTTGGCTGCCCCGGAAGTGTACCGTCGTGTGTGTGGTGCTAATACGATCTGTAGCTGTATCAGCACCGCAATCCAAGTAGATTTATTCTAACATTACATTTGTGATTATGGAATTTCGATGAGGGACGTGTCACACTATTTACTGGTGAACCATCGCCCCTTTCATTTGTTCACAGTTCATCTTATTGTCTACACTTATCTTTGCATCTTCCGTTCTATTCAGATGCCATGTTAACAGGATCGTGGATACATATTCTCAATGTGTAGTCGACCCAAGAAAACCAAACTCTGGGTCGGTCCAGGTCTTCCAATAAGACAGTTTGTCAAATTTTCACGGTTAGCTGCCAGATTGATTTGAACATACGTTCCATTGACGGATTTAGTTCGAAGGAATGTATCAGTTTCACTTAGTCTGTCAGTTATTGAGCCGGATGAAGTGTGGTATTATTAAAAGTGCATAGTAGCTAGACTCATTGAATAGTAACGAATGATTGTCTTAATCTGAAAACAACTACTGTTGATGCATTGATCTGACAAACTGCTATCGGCTTAGTTTCACCCAAGTCGTATTGTTTTATCAGACAGGTATTTTGACACGCACTCGAATCCCCTTCCTAATGTTTTTTTTCTGACGCGGTGATACCTTCTTGTTCAACCATCATCGCAACGAAACACTGAATCAGTTTGTGAAATGATATGCGAATCAATAAATATATGAAAAATTATGGGCTTATTACAGTAGAGCAGACCATCTTCGACCTCCCAGCCGAAAAATTATCTCAATTGTGAACAGCCCCTGCATCAACAAACATGCACATAAAAACGGAAATTATATTGACAGCATGGTGTCGCCGATTCGCCTACATGACTTTTACCGCTCCAACTGTCACATGCGATTCGAAGGGGCAGAAAGATTTCCATAAGCTGGGGAAAATGTTTCATTCGTCATTCACAATCCTTTGTTTCTTCTGTCTGTGTGAATCACTGAAATGTCAAATCAGCGGGGTTAGGTCACGTGAATACCTCATAAATAACTAGCAAACAAATTGCGTCATATTGTAACGAGAAGGCGAGCTGGCTGGGAGAACGTCTATTGATCCAATTCAAAAACAAACAGTGTCTGCGTTCGATTATATACAGTCAAT